GCTCGCTCAGGCAGCAACTGTGGCCGTATCGTACCTGGTCGATCGTAGCTGATTTACTTTATGACTCGTGCTGAATAGCAACGGTATATAAGCTCCTCATAAGCGATCGCCGCGGCGTACAGCACGGCGATATACGGTCAGATGTAAACGCGCTTTCGCACTCTCTTCGGGCGACCCTCGCGGAAGAGGAAACCTGAAATGCGATCCCCGTAGAACGGGCTCGGTTGTATCCGTCGATTTCGTGCGCAGGTGCACAGCCGTGATGATACATATTAAGCTCGCGCTTCCGTGTGCAAATTGTTGCCCTGCACGGAAATCCTTAATCTAGTTCCATTATAAAGACACTGCTGCCGGCCGCTCGGACCGCCGGAGAGTTCACGTCAAGCTCGAGCATACATTGTACGTGCGCAAATGCGAGAAGGTTACCGAATCGACTTCACTTCCTCAAACACGCGCGATAAATCAAGATTAAAATCGTGCGTTCGTTACGTATTTCGCGGCCGAACCCGAAGCGATACGCTGAACGTGATATCGGGCCGCCATTACCTGTTCTATTAAGCAAGTATCTCTCTGCCGGCTTTATCTAGATATATGTACGGACGTAGCTTCTAGAAGATACTAATCAACAGCACTCAGCAATGCCGATTCACGCAATCCGTCTCCGACAAATCAGGCGCGAGGATACGCGGCGAGCCGCGCCGGGTTGGGGGGATAATAAATAGACTTCGGTATTCGTGGCAAGGTTCGCCCGAGCGCGTATGTAGCGGGGTGGCCCATTATCTTCCAGATATCGTTGGTCAGGCAAATAGACGATAAATATTAATTGGAATCGGCGAGATAAAACAAATGAACCCCTTTGCCACCAGTACGAGCGCCGGTCACGCGCCTCGAAGGAGCGACGAAGAGCGCGAGAAGCGCGAACGCCGAGAATCGTGGGTCGAATCGCGAAGATGAGGAAGGGAGAGGGAAGACGGCGCGAGGAGATGTAACGCGCGGATCCGACGAAGAGGAAGGAGAGAGGGAGCGACGGAGAAGGAGAGCGACGAGCGAGGGAAGACAGAAGAAAGTGCTCAGGCAGAACGGCGCGGCGACGGCCCTGGCTGGTGATTTATATAGAATCATATCTCCATCTGAATGTCTTCATTTTTAACGCACGGCCGCGCAATGGTCTCTCCGCTCTCGGCGGCTTCGTTTCGGCTCCTCATCTTCGGCGCCCCCTCGCTTCACCTTTCACGTGCTTCTGTCTCGCTCTGTTTCGTCTCCTCTGAAAATCGCACCGTTCGCTCGCTCTGGCGAAACGACAGGGACGGCGAAAGCTCGCGAGTGTAGCTCGAACGCATTTCTCCGCTTCTTCCACGGTGGTCCGTGCGACTTAATTTTCCCATGCGTTCCGCCATCCTTCTCGATCTTCGATCGAAAAGATGCGACGCAGAATTCTCGGGTCGGGTCAATTGTAGGTGCGACTACATTCAAAACATCCTCTCGACACGGATCGAGAAACGCCCGCAAGGATTACCACGCAGCCACAATGATCTGGTAATTTTGTACGGAACGCTGCGCCGATCGACCGGCGACCGGTCGATACGCTTGTACCGGTCGATTTCGTTCCGTTCGCGCGTGTATAATCGAAGAAGCCCGGTTTTCGGCGCATCGCCGGGCCGCATTCAGTCTGTTGTAAAAGGAAGTCGTGCACTTCCTGATTGTCGCGGTTGGGCGATTTTGTAAGCTGAAAGAAAGCGCGAATGTTAGAATAAATGTCAGTGTTGCAGCGAACGCAAAATATGTGTTTAACAGTTCTGTCCAATGTTTTATTAATTAATTCTCTAAGAAAATAAGTTTTGCATAAATTGAAAGAGAGGAGAAAAGATCATTAATGTCGATTGTACGTTGAAAATTTTCATCTAATGTTGTTTTTCCTTTAATGGAATATGAGTAAAATATGCAAGATATTACATTCTACAGCACACAGTACTATCTATAAAATAAGCGTGAAGAAAATTTAAGAATTATTGCACGATGTGCCGGTAAAATGTATGCGTGAGTATTCCTTAATACGTCGGATACTTCAAAGACGCTTCTCTTTAATCCTTTTCTACGCAGGTATTCGTGTACCGTACGCATAAATAATCTAAAGAAGAAATTACGTTTTTACATTAGATTCATTCATTTTTCGTCAAATTGAGATTTAAACGTACATCTTCCCGGTGATAAAAAGATTCGACGAAAGAATCTATCGCGCGGCCCATAATTATTCATAGATATCTACATAAGTGTTCGGCGTGAAGCGCGATTATGCAAGCGCGATTACGAGGAGACGTGTACACGACGTTTCCAGGGGAAATCGTGCTATTAGACGCGGCGCGATAGCGTAATAGCGCTCGTACAAAGGAGACGGAGACGGGCGCACTTAGGACGCGATTTGTACGCGCCTTGTAAGTGATGATCATTACGAATGGTAATCGTTACGGGAATTCATGGTCGACTCGATGGCTGCGCCGGCATGAATAATCCGGCGTCGTCTATGCGCGCGTTATTCGCTACCAAACATCACCATCACTAGCGTCGTCGAAGAACAAAAAGAAAGAAAGAGCGACAAGCACAGTCGGAGCGAAACAATCCATTAAACAGTCGCAAGGTGGTCCGCCCGCCTCCGAGTCCTCGAGAACGACGATGACGAAGATGACGCGGTATCCGCGCCTCAAGGTGACACGGGCTACCAGAGAGAAGGGTTCACGACACCCGCGCGCCTCTTCATGCCCATATTATATCCTCGAGAATACTTGTAACGGGCCCTGAAACGTCGGCACGCCACGCCGTGACGACTTCTTTCGAGCGATGACCGGCGATTCACCGAGGGCCCGCGTGCTGACGATCGCCTCCGATCCTCGTTTCCGACACTCCCCCGCAATCGTTGCGAGACGATACGCTCGTCGCGCCCGTGAATCGACGGAGACATGCGCACGGCCCCGGGGCCCGTCGGCGATTGAACGCGCCAGAACAACGGTGCATCGTATCGGCGCGCTATAGAAATGTCGGGACAAAAATACCGACGGGTTCGATTACGTGACTTCCGATTTGTATGCTGCTTACGCGGAACGCCGTGAATCCTTTTTGCCGCGACATCAATGACGTGGATAGAGAACTTAATCAAAAAATAACGAGAACTTCGGAATCGCGTTATTACGTATTTGTAACACGGGAAAAAATAGGAAGTATATTTTTCTTAAAAAATTATGTCCGAACTTATCTGTCTAATACACGATTATACGTAGATTGTAAACAAAATCCGCGGATTAATCAAAAGTGCACAATTATGTTCTTCTTGTGATCTTAATAACTCGCTATAATTGCCCATTGAGTTTTCTACGAGGGGACCAGCGCACTAAATAAACGATAAATTTGCCTAGTCGGAGATAATAAGAATCCGCGATATATCATATCTCTAACTGACTTTAACTGACAATAGGAGAATAAAAAGTCCTGCGCTCGAGTCGCGGCAGTGCTCGATAATCGATTCGCGTTTTTCGCTTAGACAAGAACAGGTGCAATTAAACTTTGCACTCGAGAAAGGCAGAGGGATTCATTCGAGCCGCATGCGAAGAAAGAGCTGCCGTTCTCCGTCTCGCCCTCGCGCCGCCCCCCTCCAGGCTTTTAACTCGCTCGCGTCGTCGCGATATTACGCGGCCAGTAATAATGCATCTCAGAACAGAGACAGTAAGGTGCGGGGACTCGGGGCCGTTGACTGGACGAGCTGCAGTTTTGCTTTACGACGCGGTTGAGTGACATTTAATACCGAACGGCGCCCTTTAGCGTCTTTACCGCCCATGAGTGCTTCGCCCCGGGTCGCACCGGGGACCATCGGGTAATTCCCCGTGAATTTCGCCAGACGTCCTTTGGCGCACGCTATTTCCTCGTCGTGATTGTCTCAATAACTTCGCAAGATGACGAAATTGCGATGAGAAGAGCATCAAGCGTTCATTCGATCTTGTTGATACGGAAACATCGAAGATATTTTTTTATATACTTTATGTAAGGTTGTGTGTATAATTGTTCGATTGAATCGTTTTCTCATTTTTTTTCTATCAATGTTGATCGTATAAAATTATTATTTATCTAACGAGACTCGAGCATAAATCATCAAGATGCAACAGGTGCAAATCGAAATACCGCAGTGGAGCGCTAAATTACATTACATCTAGCGCATCGCGCCAGAAGTTTTATCGTAGCAATAGAATGTGATTTCACTCCGTGACATGAAATATAACCACGCCTTTGCCGGGCTATATTGCGCGTGCGATCATCGCGCGTGATTTCTCGCGCCTTAAGGCCCGTCGCTATTACCGGGCGTGGATTTTTGCGCGAAAGGGGGAAGTATCGGCGCGATATCCAAGCGTGCAATAAAGCAGCCCCGTAGCGTGATTAACGCGCGAGAGATCGAACGTGGAGAAACAATAAACGATTTTGCGAACGGAACACCGGTACTCCCGGGCGCCCGCCCGCCCACCGGAAAAGATATTCACGCCTGGTGCGGCCGGATATTTACAACGCTGCGAACGCGGTAAACCAGCGCTGCGCGACCGCCACATTCTCGCAAAATATCGAAGAGTTCCGGTCGCGCGCTTTATGTCTCGCCGTTACATAGGTATTGGAAAAAAAACTAATCGCCGCGTGTCGCGAAAAATACCTTCCGCACCTGACGCTGTCCCGTAAAGATTCCCCAACACGGTCGATACTGAATGTTTATTAAGAACGATTAAGGATTATTTATTTGATGATTAGGAGCCGAAACGTATGCGCATGCTTATGCCGGAATGCGCCATACACTTTGCATAAAACGTCTTAGAATTCCGAAGACTGTTTTCGCAGCGTCACTTTAGAAGCGTCGCTATTGTGTACAAGAATATGCGCAGAAGAATATACAAAGCGCGCGTCTTTGTGGGCGCAGAAGCCCCGGCTAGTTTTAATCCTTCTCGTAATTTAATATTAAAAGGGGAGCTTACTTAATTGCTTGTTTCATTCATGAAACGAGGCTGTCTGGACGAGGAATTCCGGAGAATCGCTCGCAGCGTCAGATCGCGGAATCACAATAAAAGCAGTTTGCGTAGAATCGGGGAAGACGTTTAGCCTGTTAAACGTCCGTCTCGCGTTCTCAAGAGGCTGTCGAGAGGAGAGCCAGTCGGCCGATTACAACGCGGACCATCTACTTCCGGACAATTTATACCTAGTCAACTCGATTTCACGGTGCGCGCCGCGTGCGCAACCGGCACGGCTTTTTCTCACTCTCGCGATTTAAGTACGCGCCAGCACACGGGAACTCACGCGAAGTGTACGAACAAATGCGTCACGGGGTCTCCCGAGCCAATGAATATATTGACCTGCGCGAGAATCGACCTCCCTCCGACGGTCCCCGATTCTCGAGCCTCCTTTCGTCGTTTAAACGGCCTCTCGACACGCGCACTCGTGTTTTCACACTCGCCCAAAGCGAATGCCATTCTTCCCCTCCCCTCCACTTCGTTTTGAAAGCGTAATTGACGAACATAGTATCTCGCGCGTCGCCAGGAATACGTGAACAATACGCGCGTTGTATCTAGGACTATTCAGACACTTTTTGACGTGATACAGTTGTCTACGGTTTCCTTATAGCGCTTTGTCCGTTTCGTTAAAATTGCGCGGTTGTAAAGTAATCGAAATTGATTTTAATTATGACGACGTTCCACGGCGTTTTAGCTCCGTATTCTAGCGATACAACGCGCTGAATTATCGGACGTTTACGAGCGTATCCGTTATTCGATTTCATGCTAGCGACGGGTGGTAATCGCGAGTGCAATACTGAAATTTGTAGCCTCGCATCGCTATCGGTCGTTCGTAACGTCTCGGTCATGGATAATATTTAAACGTACTTACTTTCCGATGCAAAGACAGATATGCTTGTATTCGCACCTCTTGCGGCGTGCCACAACTATTTACGTTCAGAATCGCAGCACGGCAAACCCGAGGTGTACGTAAGCAGATTTTCCACGATATATAAATACATATTATTGTGAGTAAATTAAAATTTATATTACGATAATGAGCATATAAGTGAAATTGCACATACGAATCTACATTAAAACGCACGTCTCCGATATCTTTTTGGCCCTAACTTATTCTTTATTATCATACACGGCCGTTTTATAGAAACATTTCATAGAGAAAAAAAAATATATTTCGACCGTAACATTATTTTAATGTATTCTGCGTATTCGTATCTGTTATCTGATGCCGCGTTTAAAACCCTTTTATGTTTAGCGCTCATTAAAGCGAAGCATTTCTCGGCAGCTGGGCAAATTCGCGTTTTAGGTGACACCGAAATTGTTTCCACGAACGTTTCGATTAAACGCCAGGTGTAGCGGCGGACGGGCGCGTCCGTGCGGACCGACGAGCGATATCCCTCATAGCGCAAGATTAAAAGTTACGAAGACAGCCGGAATGAGCTACTCGAATCGCGACTGTGCGACTCCTCCGAGTCTCTCGCTCCTTCTCCCTCTCTCCACCCTTCACTTTTCTACCGCAGCATATTTGCGTCGGCGTTTCTCTCGCGGCACACAAGCTTCACCCTGCGGATAACTCATAAAGCAGACTTGTTTATTTTATTGAGACTCTTTTGCCAAGCCGCCTCCCCGTTCCGATCGCCGTCTTCTTCTAGGCCCCGTTCGCGCTGAGTAATGACATTTTCGAAATGTGTATGTCCTCGCGTTGTTTTTTCTCCGGACGACAGAGTACCATCAGGCTCCGAGGCACGCAGAGGCACGGAGAGGACTCTTCGAAAGCGGACGACAACGGATCGCGACGAACCCGGTATAGAAGTAGAGAGTGCACCTGCAGCTTAACAAGAGAATCCGTGGAATTCCTCGATCGAGAGCCGATGTATGCATGTCGGGACGATGGATGCAAAGAGGGACTCTTTATGCGGCGTAACGACACCGCCGGGACACACCATTCGCTCGATTCGTTTATAGCGTGGCTAATATCACGAAATGAGCGTTTAGACACGCATTTAGATTACAAACCGCGAGTCGAGAAATGCCAGAATTACAAGAGCTTTTACGAGGAAAGAAATAAAATTAAATAAATGTGTAATATATAACTTTTATGTCGGAAGAAAAAGATACCGACGATGATAGTTTTACGCAATGTCTGAAAAGGTAATCTTTCAATTTCGATATTCTTTCCTCGCATATATTCTAGTAGTTGCAAACTTTCGTTAATGAATTGTGATATTAGGTCGTTTCATAAGTTCTGTCCCCGCCTTTTTTCATTATCAATTTTCAATAAAGTATTGTTCCTTCTGTTTATTAACGAAACACTTGAAACTCTTCTAAATAACCGAGAGGCTTGTGATAGATACGAAATGTGTGGAAGACGAAGCAGCAACATATACGTGAAAGAATTCCTTTCCCGAAATAAAATTGAAAATTTTAGAATTAAGAAAATATTTTAATGGCGGTAAAATAAATAAATTGAAAACGTCTCCTAGTTGTTTGCTCATTCGTTTTCCACGATGTAACGAATAGCTCGAAGATCTAAATAAACGGTGCCTAGAATGGTTTCTATTTAATACGGATGATCGGATGTCGCTTTTCGAAGAGTTGACCACCGTGCAGAACAAGCAGCCGTTCCGTAGCTGTGGAAATACTGTCCATCGAACCGACAAGTTAAATCTCTAAGATAAGATAAAATACGGACCCGGATAATCTAACACGGGCCTTCTCAGATTCCGATGGTTTAATTTCAATCGTGCGTCGTAATAGCTAGTCTATAACTTAAGTAACACTCGAAAGTTTATCAGCAGGAAGCAGTATTTCACAATCGTGCTTTCGACCAACTTTGTTAATTACTCAACTACGGTTAATAATAAGATATAACATTAAAATAATTCATAAAACAAATATAAATGCAAATAATATTGAATCTTCTAAGTAAAAAAATCACGATTTTTGTGACTATTTATAAATATTTTGGAGAGTAGTGATTGATTATTAGCTGAAAACCACAATGCAAATCTCCGAAGAATCGCGGAGTTTTATGTGAATAGTATCACAAACGTAATCGATAATGCAAGCGTAGTAGTTTATTGTGCCCCGTGCGCCCATAGCAGTCCTAATCCAAGGAGTGAATAGACCTCATCGCTTACGTAACCATTCTGGGCTTTTCTTTTCTTCTAAATGATATGCTCTCATAACTCGTTGCTTCACTATCTTGAGTTTTGGTCTTTCTTTTATCATATACACTCAATCCTCGAATTGGTCGAGCCAGCCCAGCTTCATCTCGATCTTCTCTTCCTCCTTGTTCTCCTCCTTGTTCTCTTTTTTTCTTCATTTCTCTCTCTCCCTCTCTCTTTCTCTCACATTCTTCGTCTCTTTCGTGATCTCATACATTTTCCTGTCGCACTCCAGCAACATATCCCGCGTCATTCGCCGCAGGGTAGAGAGCGAGAGAAGAGCGTATATAGTTAGGTCGATTGTTCGATGCAGCCGCGGATCGCGCCATTGTCGAGCTGCGCATTTTTGTTTCTCGTAATGAACTATTGATCGCGAACTGGCGATCCTTTCACACCGCGGCGCAGTGGTTACTAGCGACAGAGAGGGGGAGGACCCGCGATGGTTAAGGCCATCGACAACCTTCGTGGGGCCCTTCAATGGCAATGGCAGGAAGGGCAGAAAGAAAGCGTATAAGAGTGGGCGCGCACATTCACGGATCATTACGCGACAGTGACGAATTATAACGACGCGGTCAGTAATGCGTCTCCGTGTACCAGCGGCCGGCGTTTTTGCCGGTGAAGAGTAGCGAGGATCGATGGAAGATCGAGCGGAGAAAGAACGACACGCGGCGGGCAAGGACGACGGCAGGCGAAAAGATGGCGAGGTGAAAGAGGAAGAGAAAGAGAGGAGAAAAGAGGCGGCCCCGCCACGGTAGTGCATCCTGCCTCGTAAACCTGTTCCTCTTTTCGCCGCCCGGGAACCGCTCTTATTTACGAGAGCTTCGCGTGCCGCCGAATTTCGGATTCACCCGCGGCGTCGCGAGGCGAAAAGTCAGATGGCTGCGTTATTTACCGCCGCGATTCCACGTACGCCATCGACTTTATGTATATTCTCGGCGCTTTCATTTAAAGCGCCGTCGGAATGTTTCCGTATTACGAGTCGATCTTAGTAATTTGCTGCCGCGGAACACGATTGGGTGATAAATATCCGACAGTGGTGTGATACGTAACGCGCGTGCCATCGCTTGAAAGCGCATCTTGTGCGATAATGTAGTGCTCCGAATCGATTAAACCGAAAAATATCATCGCAAAAGTTTAGAAAATCGAAGAAGTAATGCAGTATGATGACATCTTTAATATTTAGATTGCAAAATCGTTTTGTATGTGATAGAGAACGAGATTAGTTGAAAAATATCAATTCATTAACATATTTTTCAATTTTCCATACGTTTCGCACATTCAAGGCGCAATTCTCTGCTAATTCCCTTTAACACTCTACTTCTTGCCTCCATCCGTCGACTCTTTGCACCGCGCTCTCCTTTGTTGATCCATTCGACGTAAAGTAACCGCGGCATTACGTGATCGATCGCGCCCGGGGTCGTGGACGATCATAAATTATCATTGCTTACCCGTTGTTCGGCCTTAAAGGTTCCCACGTCGTAATGAGACCTTCCACCCTTCAACCCGGGCCCTCTTTCTCCTTCCCGCCCCTATTCTCCCCGCCGCCTCGCGCGCTCCTGCACTTTTTCTCTTGGCTCGTGTTACAAGCACGACGATTCCGTCCTCCTAGACTCGGCCAGCGGTTGCTGAAACGAGCGGCAATATATTACCCGCTGATCCGATCGTTCCTGTCATTTGCGCCGGACGGCTCGGGGATTAATTAGTCTGGCCGATACTTCGAGATCTCGTTCGGACGACTTCCATCGCTCGATACTTTCTTCTTCTTACACGACTCGCCCCGCTGTCACTCCCACGTCGCGCCTCCCCTTCTTCTCTCATTCCTTTGCCTCTGCTCCTGCGTTTCCTCCTCGT